GGCGTAGTAAACGTGCTAGAACCTCAAAATCTTTTGGTCCAGATTTTCTAACTTTTTTGTTAGAAAATGAGCCTCTAACTTTTAAAGAAGTTATGTCCAGTCCTGAGGCTCTTTTATGGAAAGAAGCTGTCAATAGTGAAGTTGAATCTATGTTACAAAATCACACTTGGGAATTAGTGGACTTACCACCAGGTTGTAAACCTCTTGGGTACAAGTGAATTTTCAAAAGAAAAATGAAAGCGGATGGATCAATTGACAAATACAAGGAAAGACTTGTGGTCAAAGGGTATAAACAAAAAGGTCTTGATTACTTTGACACATACTCACCAGTTACTTAAATAACATCCATTAGAATGCTAATTGCTATTGCATCATTGTACAATCTAGAAATTCATCAAATGGATGTGAAAACTACTTTCCTAAATAGTGAGTTAGATGAAAAAATTTACATGGAACAACCAGAATGATTTTCTATTCCGGGAAAAGAAAAGAAAGTGTGTAAATTGGTTAAATCATTATATGGTTTAAAACAGGTGTCAAAGCAATGGCATGAGAAATTGGACAAGGCAATGATGTCAAATGGATTTGAAATTAATAAGTGTGACAAATGTGTTTATATTAAAAACACAAACAAATGTTATGTTATAGTATGTCTTTATGTGGATGATATGCTCATCATAGGTAGTAATAATGACATGATTAAAACTACCAAGAAAATGTTGAATAAACATTTTGACATGAAGGACATGGGCATTATTGATGTAATTCTTGGTATGAAAACTACCAAAACATCAGAAGGTTATGCTTTTTCACAATCTCATTACATTGAGAAAATACTTGACAAATTCAGCAAAGAAGATAATCATCTTGCTAGAACACCTGTGGATGTTAATTTGTTTTTTTCTAAGAATGTACAGGAAAGTATTTCTCAATTAGAGTATGCCCAAATTATTGGAAGCGTAATGTACTTGATGAACTGCACTTGCCCAGATATAGCTTATGCAGTAAGTAAATTAAGTAGATATAGGAATAACCCAGTAGTAGAACACTGGAAAGCAATTATAAGGATTCTAAGATATCTCTGATTTGCTCGTAACATTGGGCTGAATTATACTAGATATCCAGCAGTACTTGAAAGTTACTGTGATACAAATTGGATATCGGATACTAGAGACTCAAAATCCACCAGTGGGTATGTTTTTACTCTTGGTGGGGCGGCTGTATCTTGGAAATCTTCCAAACAGACTTGCATAGAAAGGTTTACTATGGAATCAGAATTCATACCTTTAGATAAAGTTGGGGAAGAAACAGAATGGCTTCGCCACTTCCTTGAAAATATTCCAATGTGGCCAAAATCGATGCCTGCTATATGCATACATTATGATAGTCAATCAACAATTGGTAGAGCACAGAGTCATATGTATAACGATAAGTCCTAACACATTCATCGTCGACATAACACCGTAAGACAACTACTCTCTAATGGAATTATTTCCATTGAATATGTGAAGTCTAAAGACAACATATCGGATCCACTAACCAAAAGGTTAGCAAAAGAGTTAGTTGAGAATTCATCAAGGGGAATAGGACTTAAGCCCATTAAATAAGAGTTACCACAACGGCAACCCAACCTAGTTGACTGGAGATCCCAAGATCTAAGTTTCAAAGGGACAACCGAGTTGTGTATGACTTAGAAGGATCACTGGGGAGTCAAACTCCTATCTATTTCTATGATGAAATAGTGATGTCTGCAGCGTTTTTGGTTAAGTAAAAATTTAATGATTCTTATATCTAGGTAAACCTAGTGGGGTATGGTAGAATACTCTTTATAAGAATCACCTATATGAGTGTGAACTAGGCCGGTTCTATGAGATTTGTGAAAGGCTACAATTCTCTAGAGCACTCATGAAAAACTAGGTTGTTCAAGGCCAAAATGAACACAATAGTGAGAATTAAACTATGCCTGGGGATATACTGTGTGAGTTCTATTGTCTTGATTTACACAAACAACTGAACAGTTCAGAACATCATGTTCACTGGTTAGCTAGTAAATCCGATAGTGTCTCACAAGGAAAGGTTCAAAGCCAAAAGCAACCTATCATTTGCAGAATATTTCCAATTTATGTACTCTCTGTAATTAGATCATGTTGTTGCATTTTCTCTCCGTCAAATTTCATTCATGTAGGGGATTGTTAGAATATTGGTTTTTTATAGGCTTATTTTGGGTCAACTTTATGCCCAATTTTGAGTTGGCCCCAAACGTCTTTTGGGGTGGTCCGAAAAGGTGACGTGTTCCTTGCCGCATGGTAAGTCACATAGTGAAGACGGTTCGTCAAAACCATTTATGAGTGAATGAGAACTTGATATCGTTTTCGGATTCGTGGAATGGACATTTAAAGAATTTAATGTGGGTTTCCTTAAAAATGGGTTGTCCCACATTGAAACTTTAAGAGAGCTTTTGTATGTATATAAGCTCTAGATTACAACACCTGGGTTGGGCTCCAAACGACACACCAAGTTTGTAGAAGCAAAAAGTTATGGACAAAGTGAACCTTAGCCCAAACCACCACACGGGCGCGCTGCCGCCGCTGTCCGGCCGGCCGAGCAGTGCTGTGCCAGGCGCGGGTGTGGGTTGTGGGTCGGGTTAGTTCTTATATTAATTTTTTCTAGAAAATTCATTTGAATTTTTTCCCAAAAAATTCTTTACGAAATTAATTCAAAACTTGAATTTAATTTTTTGACCTTTGTTACCTCTTCCAGTCCATTTTTCCAAAACAGATTAAACTGTTCAAACAGTTTGCAAATATGTTTGAACCCAAACAGATTCATTTCTGCCAAACAAGTTTTTTAACTGCAGCAGTTTTCCAACAGATAGAAACTGTTGGGCAGTTACCTATTTGTACCTGTCCAATTTGATTTAGTACATGTTCATTCAAATTGAGACTTGTTCAGGTCAGTCAAAATTGCTTATAAATACCATCATTTCTAGTAGTGTTTGTGATCCAAAAATAATCTGAAAAATTCATATTTTTTGCTGTCCCATTTTGCTCATTTGCATAAATTATTCTTTATATTATTTTAGGGAAAAATTAAAGAGTATAGAACACAAAGTTTTTGTTCACCGGGAAAATTGTTTGGAGTGTTACTACAATTTGTGAAGATTATTGTATCCTGAGAGATAGACGCCATTAGTCCGTAAGCATTGAAGCGAGGCGAATCTATCTTAAGGACAAAATGTCACACACGCTCGACTTGATCTTTTTATTATTCATTCGGTTCGGTAAAATAAATTCAGTAAGTTATTTATTTTATTTGTTTGATTTGGTTTCAATTTATTTATTATACACAGAAGATTGTTCCAACAAAATATAACACAAGTAAAGAATAAAATATTGTTTAATATAGCCCAACAATTGTGAATTGTGTAGTGAAGTCCAACTCAAGTTTACATACAACCAATATAATTAAACACAATAACACAACTAACCTAAAGAGGTTGAGTTCAGTTCTTCAAATTTATTTTATTAGTTATGCTATTGAATTTAATTTATATTGGTTGTGTTTTATAGCGATCCCGGGTTCACCCTTGTTATACGTGATCCGGACATGTGTCCGTGGATGTTGGTAGTTGTTTATTATCTTGTTTGCATCCTTTTTACTTTGTATTTGAGTTATAGGATGTGTTGAGCGGGTTTGTTACAGGTTGGTTGAGTTTAGAAACCAAAACTAGTTGCCCAGATTTTTGGCCTGTACGCTCGAGCGGAGGTGTTGGCGCTCGAGCGTAGATTACATCCATCCAGTATCTTGTTGTGCAGTGTTGTGAGCTCGAGCGTAGGGATTGGGAGCTCGAGCGGAGGCCTCCCCTAAAAAAAATGCTGGACGAGTGCATTCTGCGCTCGAGCGAGAGGTTGGCCGCTCCCACTAGATGAACCAATTTGTTTTAAAAAAAATTTAAAAAACTTTCACTATTAACAAAGGAAGGAAGAAACAGTTGATTTTTTATTTTTTTTTATTTTTTAACTTTTCTTATTTTTAATGAATTTTTTTTTAATTCCTTTATACTACACTAACTGGGGAAAAATTGACATAAATTAAAAAAAGATTATTAAAACAAAAAAATTATAAAAAAATTTTTTTTGACTATTTTAATTGGAGGCCAAATGAAACCATAGTGAAAGTTCAAGGGGGAAAAAGAAGCGAATTGAAATTGAAATTGTCTTAAAATTTTTGTTGTGACAATTCAAACAAGGTAAAGCATGAGAAAAATAAGAGACACATTAGTGCTTCTTGCTCTGAAAGTCTTGGTCTTAGGAGAGACTTGAGTACAAATAGTGATATCTGTTCCTATGTAATCAGATGAACTAGGAGAATTTGACGAAGATATCTGGAG